GAAAATTTCTTGGATCAGCCTACTTCCCAAAATCAAACCACATGACTAAATTTTTGCACATTTTCAAGTATTTGTAACATTATGTTAGTAATGTCTGATAAGAATATGAAACTAAAACTTTATTGTTTATTCACTTCTTGGTTCCATGTTAGCCATAAGTGTGACACTATTAAGAAGGCACTGGTAAATTGGGAAAAATGCTTTCAAAATAAACTGGAAAACAGGAGAGAAAAACAATGTTTTTTGATAGACTGAAAGTATACTGATAACAAAAACCAGAAGAATGAAAGAAAAGGATATTTCTTTATTTTTTTTTCTCTCCCCACCCCAGGGTTTAAATGCTGACGACAGTTAGCATAGAAGCCATCTGTTTTTGGACAACTTAATCTTAAGCAATGATATTTTCTTAAGTGTCCACTCAACCCCATGCAGAAGGATAGATTTACATTTTAATGACTTCAAGTGCAAATGAAGGGAAGAAGATGAGAGCATCAGTAAGTCACTCGTTGGACAAAGTAGGTAAGTAATGGTGGGGAGGCCACCCACAATGGCTAAAAACGTGTCTCTAGTCAAAATTCAGTCAGTTCATACGACTTGGATCTTAAGACCAATCTGTTTCTAGCAGAAAGACACAAATGAAATTATGGTTATATTTCTTTGTTCATCTGCCTAAGACATGATAAAATTTATTAAAACAAAGGAATTATCACTTTTTGTTGCTTGTTGACCAAAGAGCCGACGAGAGAAGGCAACAGAAGACAGATCCCAGATGCAACCGGCCCACAAGGATGTAATAAGAATTCCCTGCTGATGGAAATTTTGGATGATAATTGAATTAGTAATTTGGGCTAGACCACACCTAGCCTCTTAGAATAGTTTTGATTAGGAGATGGAGAAAGGTGGCTAGAATTTCAAGGAAGGCAGAGGAATGGCCTGCACCCTTTATGAAGTGATGGTAAGAGGCACCCACACAAGATGAAGGAGTTGGGCAGATTGATATTCTGCCACCACCACTCTTTGTGGGGGAAGGGATCTCTCCAAATTTGTTCAGGCAATCAATTTTCCAAGACTAGGCAACAAAAGGCTCTTTATAGATGTTAGGGTTTTCCCAGAAACTCCCAGTCACCTCATGCCCTGCGCTTGGTTTGCACGAGGGTCCATAAATACAGACGAGTGAAGTGAGAAACAAAGAAAAAGGAACCAGACAGTTCGAGGTGCTGTTTGCAAGGTGCATTGCCAGTTGGTTCAAGACCTGCTTTACCAAACCCCACACAACTTCTGCAGAAACAACTTAGACACTGGCTTTGTCCCAAGGTACCAATTACAACTGAATAGTCAGCCCAAAGAAATCAGACTCCAGCCTTGTACCAGTTTACCAAGTATGGCTAAACGGAGCATTAAAAGGGAAGGTGCTGAAAATCTGCATGTTGTTAATTTAGAGATTAGAATCTTCATTGTATGAAACTTTGATAAAAAGTTGTGTTACGCAGTTGTCTCTTACTTTGTTCCTTGTGACGTCATCTCGCCAAAGCTGTCAGATCAGCGACATAGGATATATGACTCAGATTTTATCTGCTTTGTGATCTAAAACAAACACAACATGGGATTGAGGATCGGAGTAACCAACTCCAAGGCTGGCCATACGGATCAAACATGAACTTGCCTAGTGACTGTGGGCAGTGTGTGACACCATATAAGTGTATGTAGCTTTTTAGGGACTTTGAATGTTTGATCTTCTTCTCACCAGGATGAAGGACTTTGCCTTCCCTCTCATGGGTCAGGTATTTATGTTACTTCCTGTCATCTGGTTGTGTTTGTATATCCTAATTTCAGCTCATTTGGCTTCCTGTTTTATGTTAGTGCAGCCACCAACATCCTTTGAGGCCCAGTTCTGTACTTGGTGATTATAAGGTTACCTTCTAGGTTAACCCTCTGAGGTACTTAACCCTATTAGTGTTCTGGTGTAAAACCAAGAACAAAGCTTACTTTGGTATCTCTTTGGATAAACCCAGTACATATTAGGGTAACCACAAATCCACTCCTCCTAGAGGAAAGGTTCCTGATTGACAATAAATTTAATTTAGACCTCTTGTCATTAACCATCCTTCTTACATGTGTTGCAATAAATTTGCACTTTATCTCCTTTATATTTACATCTAATATGCTCCAATACTTAGATTTTTTTTCTGGTAAAGGGCTTATAAAGCGAATAATGGCCCTGGCTTTTTTCAAGGTCATCATTTTGCAAAGTGACTTCCCAGAGAAGTCTCTGTGTCCTATTTCAATCAGTTCACACTGAGCTTGTAAACACTGACTTTTGCATTCATCTACAATAATTAAATATTTTCCAAACTTTCCTTTCTGGGCTTTGTCCATATTCTTGTCTCAAGCTAACATGAAAACTTGCTTGGTTTTATCTGAATAAATAATTGTGTCTGGATGCAGCTATGTTTCTATTATTTTCTCTGGGAATTTTAACTTTCTGCTTATGTCTACTCTCATTTGCCAGTTTGAAGCAGAACTGAAGACTGAAGTTTTCTTCCTCTGTAGTGTCTTTACCTTTTGCCCTGCTCTGACAAAACTCATCAGCTTCTTATCAGGCTTATATCTGTTTGTTTGGAGACTACTTGAGACTATTTCTACAGTGACTCTTAAAACCATATCATGGCAACACTGGTAATGCCTCTCACTCAATGCCTTGGGGCAACCACTCAATATGTGTTGGAGGGATCCTCTCTTCAGACACAATGGAAAAGTGGAGACTCAATCTTTCACCATATGTGGAGGTTTTTGTTTGTTTTGTTTTACGGCATATCAACCTCAATGGATTATTTAATGTTGACAAGATTTTTATTACTGATAAAATTTTTTCTTCAAAAATGTATTGCTGGTAATACATATTTTCCTCAAAAATGTACTGCTGGTAATATTTTTTCCTTCTAAAAATTTATTGCTGGTATTAAAACCTATTTTTACACTTCCATAGTGTTTTAACCCCAGGTTGAATTGGAAACACCAGGAATTAGGGGAGGTTCACTGCTTCTCAAAAGAGGCCGTTCTGTTGGACATAGTTTATTGTCTTACTCAGGATGTGTGGAAGTTTGCTGAGATAGTGTTATAGCGGAACACACCTATTCTATAGTTAATAGACTCTCCAACCTATAATAAGTAAGAGTAGTAAGAGTAACGAGTCAGTCACTCAGGGGTTCAGTCAGTCAGTCGATGCCGGACGATCGTTAGTCAGATACTAAAGTATCAGCGACCACAAACTAGATTTACTCTGCGTCATACCTATTATATCAAGTTCCTAACGTTTTGTATGTCGAACCTATTTTAGGACTGACTTAGTACAAATACAAGCCTCCACTGTGAAACCACTCCACAACAGATAGGTAATACGTCATATATTACCTGCACAAGGAAACATGTTGGTATTAGCATACCAGAGATCTGACCAGGAAATCTTCCTTTTTTTCTTTCTTTTTTTCTATGTTTTCCCATTTTGTCCAGGGCGTCCTGCTGACTTAAGGCCACAATTTTGCTGACTCTAATTTCCTCCACTCCTGCTCTCACTTCATATTGGAGCCAGTGTTTCTAGTCCTTTCTTTTTTTCTATTCTGTGGGTATTGGGACAATAGCCTAAACCTGATCAACTCTCTGCTACTGTTTCTACGAGAACCTTCCGTCTTAACCTTTGCCCTGCTATATTTAGCCCCTGTGCTGCCTTCCACATTCTCCCTGTTCAAACCTCAGTTCCTGTCTTTGTCAATTTAGGATCTTTTGAATCCCAATACAGCATCGTCTCTATTTTTCTTACTATTTTAAATTCCTCAACTAATCCTCTGAAGGGGAGTTGCAATGCATTTGTAACTTTATACAAAGCCACACTGCTCAAACTTCTCAGTAGGCCAAGCCATCTTCACAAAAAAAAAAAAAACAATCATCTTTTAGTCCATGGTCTCAACTGTTGTCAATGCCACTTCATATAACAAAAATCTTTGGTAAAATAGCATATTGATATATCCACACAGGGAGGCACTGTGGAGTAATGGATAGCGGCTCGGATTGAGGAATCGGAGAGCCAAGTTTGAATTCCAGTTGAATCCATTACATTCACTTACGTGCTAATACCCTTGGGAAAGGTATGAATCCTTTTCTTCTGCTCCCAGCTATGGGTAAATAGCAGGACAGACTGGGTTCTATAGCCTTGGATGGCAATTTTTAATGATGGGATTATGGTTCTTGAAATCTTAAAACAGAACTTTTCTGTAGCAATCCCATTCTTCAATACTAATGACATTGATTTTTCTTGGTTTAAACTCCATTCTTGCACATATCATTATCCTTTTTAAACCCAGCAGAATCCATCTACATCCAGGAACAGAAGATGTAGTGACTGTCACATCATCTATATGTACACAATGAGATCAGAGGTTGTTGTACTGTTTCTTATCAATGAACCTCGACACTCAACTTCTGCTGATTTTACTAGCATGTTCATAGTTAGGATGAATAATATTACTGAAATTGTACATCCAGTGATAATGCCCTTTTCCGACTGATGCCAGTCAGAAGATATCAAATTGGAGGTTGTCTTTATGTTGAAGTCATTATAATAGTCGTCTATGAGATTCCTTACAAAAATTGGGACATGGTATCTTTTTAGAGCTTCCTCAACTAATTTATGTGGAACAGATCCATATGCATTAGCAAGGTCCAGCCACAGTACAACTAAATTGCAATTTCCTTCTTAGAGATAATATATTATCTTAAATATTATTATTAGATGAAGCGTTATTAATTTTTGATTTAATATTTCTTTCTTCTTAATTTCAGGCCTTATTTATTAACACTATCATTGCCCCCCCCCCTTTTTTCATTCTTAACCAAATCTTTAATGCATCGATGACACTTATGTGACTTTGGATATCAGGAGCATCATAGGTAGATAATTATGGCTCTCAAAACATTGACTATTTTTCTTTTCTTTCTCCTTGCAGGTGAAACTGATACTGTCATTTGCTACTGTTGTGATGGTGGATTATGTAACTGGGACGAGGAAGATGATCCTTGGATAGAACATACTCGTTGGTACCCACGTTGTACATATGTCCGTCAGAGAAAAGGTGATCAATTTGTGAATTCTGTGAAAAGGAATGAATTTTCACTTTCAGTAAGTAATAAAAGTTAGTTTTTATCTTTTACTTTGATGAATTAATTTTTTTTGTTTAATTATGAACATGTATCCAACAAATTTATGGATACATGCACAAATTTCACCTGATTGTACTTTTCTCTTTATCTATGAGTCCATCTATGGACAAATCTATAATCTTTATTTTGTTTTAAGACTGACAGTAATCATGATGCTGTTGATGATGCAAACAAAATTGCTTCTCCTCCTCTAACACAAGGATCAACTTTAAATTCAGGTTGTATATATTTACCACCTCTTCTATCTTTTTTTCTTTTGGGTTGGAACAAAGGTTTGTAGTGTTTTTCAGTAAGTGACATTTGAACAAGATTTTATTTCATAGGTGACTGAAATTTATGATATATATATTAATGTGTATTTAGGCAGCAACCTTTCTTCTAAACATATTTTGTTAAATATAATGGACAAGGAAAAGTTAATTAATTTTTTTGTTTCGTTTTTCCAGCGTTCTTACATTTTTTCATTTAGTGAGAGTAAGGGAATACAAAAATTATCATATCCATACAAATGAATATGTTAGCTCTATCACTGATATTGAGCACTTTCCAATAAGTACTGCACACACACATATATATATATATATTGAAAGATAACATTTCAGTGCATCTTTCTATATGGTTTGTATGTGGATTGTGAATTTTAAATTCTTTTATATGAAAGTATTTTTATCATTTCATGCCTATTTTTAATTCAACAGCAAAAAAAAAAAGATCTACCATTTATGAAGTAGAAATTTTGATGTGACAGCCATTGATATGATTAACAGAAAAAATTTAATAAATCACATTTCCATCTGCAATTCTCTACACAAATGCAAAAAAAATACCCCACTTTTGAAAATAACAATCACAATTGATGAAAAATTGGATTGTTTACAACAATGTGGTATGAAAAAAATGAGCCACCATTAATTGCTCTAGAAGCTATTCTGCATCCCAAAAAGATGATGCTATGTATCTGATGGATTCAAAGAACACATATCTTCTGCAAATCCAAACATTGATTTCAGAGAAAGTACTATTTCCAACTGAACCAATTAAAGGCAGCAATCAATAAAAAGCATGTGGAATTAGACAATTGGAAGGTGTTGTCTTCCATCAGGACAATGCCAAACCTCATCTTCTTTTGCAGATCTGGCATGTTCTATGACACCTGCCATACTAAAATGATCTTGTACCTTTGGATTACCACTTATTGGCAGTTAGAGAGCAGAGTTCCAATTCAGTCAGATTAGTTATATTCTGTTACACGTAAATACCCTTGGGTAAGGTATGAATCCACCTCTTCTCTCTCCAGTTATGGATTAATTAGTAAGACATATCACTAAAACCATTATTATCTCAAAATAAAATTGCATACAAAATATTTAGATGTTGACATTAAATAACTCATAGAGGTGTTGATATGCCACTAAAGAAAAACAACCAACCAATCTTCACTTGCAAAATGCTACAAACTTTTGTTCTAACCCAATATATATAAAGTTGATTTACATGTTCAAATCATCATCTCTTTTCTCACCAAACCCTAGTTCATTTTTTTTATCATATGAATAACTGTCTCATTTCTGTCTCTGTATTTATGATTTTACATGTTTTCTCTGTATCATCATGGACTTACTAAAAGAATAAATTAATTATTACATTGTTTACAAAAACTGAAAACAAAAAATTTTAAAAATCTATTAAAAATTTAATATTTATCCTACAGATTTGTTTCAAAGAAAATTTAAAAAATTTAAGGATTAAATGGATTCCATGAAAAAATAGCAAAAATAACATTTTTTTAGTAGCCCATGAACTGTCATCAATGTCATAGGTCAGTAACATTACTCTTCTACTGTCATCCCCACTTTTAAAAGACAATGTTAAATTGAATTAAGTATAGAGGGTCAAAACTACAAGAATTTAGAAATTTATTTTTTATATTGTTGCTCATCTAATACAAAACCTAAGAGCCACTCAAAGTAGAGGGTTACTGAATGAGCTTGTTGTAAAAACATAAGAGAAAGTAAGCAGTTTATATTATGAGGATATATAGGATAGATAATGGATGACTCTAGACTTGAAGAAGTTAAGATTGTAGTGATCGGGGAAGCATCCACTTGGGGGCCTGTTCCACAAAGAAACAGTTTTACAAAAGAAACAATCTGAATGGATCTTCCTTCTTACCAATGGAATACAAAGGGAATGTGAATAAATTGACCCCATGTACATAGCATGGCCAGTCCTAGCTGTGAAAGTCAATACTCTTTATATTGTATACCTCCTTCATGCTGGGAGTAGTCTCGGTTGGACAGTCTTCTTTCACTCATATGTTGCTTTCTTCTTTGTTATCTTCCAGCCAGGTGATCGCTGGTTTTTGGTTCAGAATTAAAATGAGAACTTCAATAAAGGGAATTTTGAAACATCTATTTGTATTAACACATCAATGTGTACATTTTTAACTAGCCAGTGGGGTTGCTCTATGAGCCCCACCGGGGGAGCAAGTTCTCTGTGGACGAAATTAACACATCTGCATTTTTCCCCATGTAAAACTCGTTGGAAAAAAACTTTCTAAATCTAACATTCCCATAATCGGCTAAGCCAATTAAAATCAAGATCCCTATTTTGTCTACCAGCTGAACCCAAGGTCAGCCTCAGAAGGTCTGACCTAAATACACTGTCACTAAAAAATAATAGTCAAACTTTTATTTAACATTTATTTATTAATGACTCTGATATTGCATTACAACATTGTGAATGTAATATCAACAAAGCTGTCCAGGTTGACAATTGTTGTTCAAGCAACTCACAAATAAAGAGGTTATATCGAGCTCCATGGTTGAGTTCATTTTAAGCTTATTGCTGCTAATTAGAATCTATTGATTTGGAGGTGGCAGCAGGGTGGGGGGGGATAACCAATATCAGTGAGGATTGACTAACCTTCTTTTATACCTTGTTGGTAAGTCTAACAAAGACAATAGTCTGAATGTACATAATTTTCTTTTTATTCTATTTGCTTAGTAGAATTAATCATTTTATTATTTATATTGCAGTATGAATATAAAAAAGAAATTAATTAAAAAAAATAGTTAAATGATACTTTTGAGGTTTACTCATTGTATTTTTTTAATTTTCTACATAAGTCTTTTAAAAAAATGTTTACACTCGAAAATGGCATTAAAATTTACGTTTTTTAATTCTCCAATCACATCTTTATTTAATGAAAAGATCTTTTGTGAACAGCAACTGGATGAATTTCAAAATTGCTCTGTGAAACTAGAAGTCATCTAGTTTTTTCAGAATGATTTTGAAATTCATTTTTTAAAAATAAATATTCAATTTTTTTTTTTTTTTTTTTTTCCTTATCACATCTGGAAAAAATGTTTTATTAAATTATGTCAACACAAACCTTCAACAAAAAATATTTGAGTTTTATTGAATTATTTGTGGTTTCAGGTGGAATTTTCATTATTTTCACAGTTGATATTGTTTAATTTTCTTAAAATCTTCAGGGATTTTCTTTATACAACTAGAAAATACTTTTGAAAACACTGCATAAATTTAAGCATGTTCAGGATATACTGAAGTGGGGATGAAAGTGACAAAAAATATTTTCAGAAACTTTTCTGAAATAGTGATTTATTCAACATAAAATTCATTTATTAATGAATAAGTGCTAAAAATTTCATCTAAATCTGATAATTCACTGATTTTTGGTAAATTTTTAAAAACTGAGGATAGTGTTTTTTTTGTTTTTGTTATATATTCTTTCATTATAAAAAGTGTGCATGCATTCTTATGGTACTTAATGTTTCCTATCCATCTTAGATTTAGTTTTATCTTATATAATTATTAATCTGGTTTGCCATTAATAAGGGTGTAGTTTTTTTCTCTTCATATGTCTTCTGTACTATCATGTTATTCAACTTTGTGTCATCAGTTACCTTGACAGCAGTTATTATTATTTCAGATGTACAAATTTCAGAAAGAGATGGAGGTCCAAAAATTAGCCAATCTATTCGAAAGAGTCCAACAGTTCTGGCTGTACTTGAACTGGGATATGAGGAAAATATTGTAGAATATGTTATCAAGAAGAAAATTAAAGAAACAGGTAATCAAAATTATATAATTTCTTTTTTTTTTTTTTTTTCTTTAAGACATTTCTGCAAAAAACAATAATAGCTATTACCCGACAGATTTGAGTGTTTTGCACATTTAAAAGTAAAAATGTTTGGGTTTTTTCTGCTTGAAGGTTCTGCATTTGCAAAAGCATCTTTATTGTTGGAAGCTGTAGTGAAGCACATTGATGAAGCGGGACCTGTTGTTTCGAAAGATCAACAGGAAGAACTTGAGGAACAACATGAAGCATTAGTAAATCCAGAAAATCAGCTCAATATGGGTAAGTATGAGGTTTGCAGAGTTTATTTATTTAAAGATTATTTGACAAATATTTTGTGTGTATGTACATACATGTGTAATTGGTATACAGGGTATTTCCTATCTCCTGACACTCACATGTCTCTGTCAACAAAGGAGAGGTCGTGATGCATGTTGTTGAAAGAGTCCATGTTTTGTCGGCCAATCAGTACAGGTGAACATTCAGTTTGCTTCCTTAATGTGAATTGCTGTAAAATTTTGAATATGTAAGAATTAGATATTATGGTGGGGAGGGAACCAGAATTTTAGAAATACCAAAGTGGGGCATGGCCCAAAATCAGGGACTATTGATCTAAATACAAGTATCAGAAAGTTGTTAATGCTTAGATATCAGATAAGGTTGGTAATAATTTGCCTTTTAAGAAAATATTCAGATTATCTACAGAAATTTAGAAAGTGTAATCTGGCATAAGGTCCAAATAATTGGCATCTAATGTCTTTTTTTTGTGAATCTCTGCCTATGGTAGATAGTGCTCACCAAAGAGCTTGGCTTTGAGTATGTCCATTTTTAATGCTGTTAAATCAAGATTGTAATAATTATGCATGTTGTCATGCTAATCATATGTTCTAAGCAGATTTTGGAATAACTTGATTTATTGCATTTTATGTAACCACAGTGCTTTTGATATAATAGGTATTAGTAATCCTTCTGTCTGGTTGAGGGGCATCTTGAGATTATGGCAAAGAAGCATAAAGACCTACTTTCTGCTTATGAAAATCTTATGTATCAATTAATTGGTCGGTAGCACACTCAAAAGGACTAATCCTTTTATAAAGAACTAGGAGAGCTTCTGGTACACTGCCTGTGGTTGGTATGTAGTTAAAAAGGTATAATAAAGCATTTATTAGTGACATCCTACCAGCTTTGGGGTATTCTGAATAAATGTTTAATCCTAGACTCTTAGCATTTTTTTTTTTTTTTTTTTAGATAACACATTCAACTTATATAGAAAGTATTGGATTTTTGTGTTTAGTCATTAATATCACCTGCCACTCAATCACCCAGATAAAGTTCTTCATAAAATTGGAACCAGCCTTCAAGAATATCATTGTTAGTCATGTTATCTTTCCTGATGCTTTATACTAGACTTTTTCAATGTAAAGCAAGTTGAAAATGTTATTGCCTAGTTTTTTCATTTCATGTTTAACCCATCTTACATGAAACTGATGACCGTCTAATTTACTTGGGTTTCATGAGAAACAGTAAAATCAATTTCAGACGGGTAGTAGTTTTAGATGTTAGATCTGCTTTTTGGATTGAGGACATAATCTTCTAGTATAAGTTTTCAGAGTCAGACACTTTCAAAAGATTAATAAAGTGGTTGCCATATTGTAGCTGAAATCGATTCTGGACATCTGGATTATTAAGCTTTTCAATGTTTAGTCAAGAAAATCTCATCTCAATTTTGTTTATCTTAGTATCAGATATATCCAGAATGTTGAGAGAAATGCTATCAAGCATACACTGGCAAACAAGACTTGCATGCCAAAATGAAATCTATTTGACACCACCCCCCCGCCAAATCAAAAGCCATCCCAGTGTGAAGTTTATACTTCTGAAACAGGGTAGTAGATATTTTAGCAGGCATGTTAATATTGATATCAGAGAACATGGTATATCTTTTATTCTTACCATCACATGATTAGCTTCTACAATAATAAAAATAAAAAATAAGTATCAAATCTTCAGTTTTGTTTTAATAACACAACGTATCACCATTCATCCCTGAACGAGACACAGAAGAAAAAACTTGTATGTATATTGTTTTAATTGAATGGATGACTGTTCTAAATAATGAACTGAAGAATAATAAATAGCCATGGTAAATTATGTCCTGATAAAACTTTAATTCTGGATTGAAAATAAATCTACATTATGAATCTTAAATAAAAATCAACCTGTTTAACTACATTTTAAAAGGGATTATTACTCCTCACTCCAGTTAAAAAAAAAAAAAAGTTAGAGGAATATGATTATGGATTTTTAATAGCCAAGATTTTTCACAGGCAATGAGTGTTATGCTAAAAAGAAAAAGATGGCTAGTACCAATGTTGTCATCTTTCAATTTTTATCTTGCCTTCTCTACATTTAATTGGAAATAAATTGTTTACTGCCAATTTCAGAGATTTCCTGAATTTGTTTACCTATTCTTTAAATGAATAAATATAATGAAGAGAAAAAAAGAGCACTAAAATATAAGTGATTGAAATAAATTTTAAAATATTTCACTTTTCTTTCCTAACACCCTTCCAGAAAACTTGGGTTCAAGTTGACTTAAATAAAATTTACTAATAATTATAATTTTTATTTTCTCTAAAATTTATCCATATCACATTTTAGTTAATGAAATTGTTAAAAGCTGTTTAAAACAATTGTTAATTGCTTTTAACATAACAGTGAGCATTCACAACTACTATGCTTATTGCCACTTACACCCCTGCCTCTATACGCATTCAATTTTTCTAAGTAATGTTCTGTAAATGCTTAAGATTTATTATTATTATATTTGCAGATGACAAATTGAGAGAAGAGAATCGGTTGTTGAAAGAACAGAAAACATGCAAAATTTGTTTAGATAATGATTTAAGCATAGTCTTTTTACCCTGTGGCCATTTTGTAAGTTGTGCAACATGTGCACCATCATTAAAAAATTGTCCACTGTGTCGATCACAGATTATGGGCTTAGTCAGAACATATATGTCGTGAATACTTATGGCCCCAGTAAAATTAGGTTTCATTCCCTATGAAAATAACCCATGTTTACACCCTCTTTTGGTAAAGTATAAACAATTGAAGTCAATTTTTTTCATGCAGTTTCAGCTAAATTTTGGTATTTGGAGCTTTACTTGAAAGTAATATTTTTGTAAGTTTCTTTTTATTCTAAGTTGTTTGGAAGTTAAAAGTTCTTCAAAGAGTCAGTTAGAGATGCTGTCTTTAGATTTTTAAGTTTTAATTAATTTTTGTCCTGAAGTAAAATATTGTAACACTTTTCTATTAATAATAAAAAACCATTTCAGCATGTATGTAATAATAGACGTGATCAGACCTTAAAATGCAATTAAGGAGACATAAAAAGAAAGTTATAAATAAATAAAATGCACAGAAAAACAATTGTATTCCTTTGGAGTTTTATTTCACACCCAATTTTTGTAAAAGTAGCATACAACCAATGTTATGACATTGTGGTGCTGTTTCTTTTTTTTTTTTTTTTTTTAAGATATTATCCCAGAGTGTAAGGAGTTAAAGCTCCCAGCAAATGAGTGATACCACTGTATTAGTCAAAATATATATATGTATGTATTTTTTTAAAATTTTATTTACACACAAGCATACAGTTATGATAGATGTTGAACTTCGCCAACAAAGAAGTAAAATAACAAAAATAAAGAGAGAGAAAGCAATAATGTTGCTGAACAACTTCCTTATATTCTGATGCACTGAAAAAGCCAAGTTTTCTAAACAGTTTCACATTTTAGTTTTGAGATCTTTCTTGTCAAATGAAAGATTTCATATTAAAAATAATTCAGTATTTTCAAATAATGTAGTCCATAACCTCAATGGCACAAAGCTATATATTTGTTGATAAATTGTTGTAGCAAATTTTATTTTCTTTCTTCTGGACAACTTCGATGACACTGCTTTTTTTTTTTTTTTTAACTAAGAGATGCTAGAAAGCTCTGTCACTTCCCAAAAATCTAGCCAAACGTTGTTTTTTTTTTTTAAATTATCATTTCTTGGTGAGACAGAACCTTTCAACATCCCTTCAAACAACTGAGGAAAAGTATAAATAAGTTTTAAATTGGGCAGCAAATTTGAGAGAGAGAGAGAAGAGAAAAAAAAAAAAAACTAGGCATATTAGTTTGCTTATATTTTTTTATGCAAATTTATTATGATACTGATAAATTTGAATGAGGGGAGGAATGTGTTCAAAACAGTCCCAAAAATTTCAAAGAAAAGAATTCAGTGTTTGTTTTTATATAATCTTTTGTTCATAACCCCCCAAACATTTTCCCTGTCTACTCACATACATCTTAGAGAAATATTCCCTTCAGATAACAAACAACCAAATACAAACCAATTCAACACTGGAAAAAAAAAAAAAAAAAAAAATGTATTTTTTTCTTTAAAAACAAAAGTCACCAATTGAAAGTTTTATATCCAGAGACAGTAAATAGCTTAAACTTTTTTGTTTAAAGAGATGGTTTGCTGAAGTGCAAACAAAAGAAAAAGTAACAGTAATGAAAACCATAAAATTTCTATTAATTTATAACATTGGTACAAACCATAAAAATAAAATAAAGTTGCTGTGATATTATTTACAGGTTTTTGTGGGTGTGCTATGTTAGGCATGCATGATATCATAGCAAGTGAGTATGACTAACTCACCAAACTTAATAAGGAATTCACAACAGCAGTAATATTTAAAAGGAACAGATACTACGCTACCCAATCAGTCTTGTTGGGTTATTAGAATTTAAAAATTTTAAAGGCAATATACTAAAGCTTATTGAAATCCTAGTTGAATCTTACAAATTAAAGCATGGAAGAAGAAAGAGAGGTTAGGGGAGGGACATATATGGAGCACTCACTAATTACCAAAATATAAATATGAAAGATTCCTCAGGAAAGAGTTTAAACAAACTTAAAGGCCACCAGGTAAAAAAAAAAAAAAAAATGCATGAAAAAATGAGTTTCTGTACAAAATTTAATTTTTTTTTTTCCTTCCTTTTTTTTTTGAAAAAGTTTCTTCCCTTTATTAGCTTGCATTAACTAAGTGCCATTTAATGTAAATAAGGAGAGAAAGAGAGAGAAAAATCCAGCCAACCCACAATTCTTTATATTGTGGTGTAGATATAGGAGATGGATCGTGGGTTGAAAACAATTGCTGTTCTTTTCTCTCATCTAAATCCACATATATACAAATAGGAAAGAAAAAAAAAAAAAAAAATCTGCATCAGTCTGTTTAGTGTTGCCAGCAGCTTAAGTGCTTGTAGCAGTGTACCAGCTGCAGTGTTACCATACCATCAATACCCACTGTAACAACAGCTGCAGTGATAATGCAATCTCCCCCCTCAGACACACATACATACACGCGCGCACGCACAAAGAATTATGGCAAGTTAGTCCACCTTGACCACACTGTAGATTTTGGAGACAAACCAGAAACAAGAGAAGAATCCAATAGTACCTAGGAAAGGAAAAAGAAAAAAAAAGTCAGAACAAAAGTCTTTCAAGATTTATACAGCAATTCAATATTTTACATTAATTGACTGACTTAGAAAAAAAAAAAAAAATAGTTAACTAAGTTTATTAGATTATTTCCAACATCAATTTTTGATATTGTTCAGTTTTCCAAATGAGGAACCCATCAGCTCTAATGTCAAAGGCAGGATTTGTCACATTATCAAAATGTTTTTTTTTTTTTAACTATTTAAAAAAAAAACAAAAAAAAACCGTTTACATATAGAGGAGGAGGAGAAATTAAAACGTTTCTCTATTAATTTCATGAACATTATTGAAATGGCACTTCAATAATTTGCTTCAATTGAATTTCTTTTTCAAAAAAAAAAAAAAAAAAAATTAATGACTACTCACCAGTTAACAAGAAAAATAAAAACATCACTATGAGCATATAGCCAAAATACAGTACAGTGCTGGCTGCCCCGACAAGTTCTAATTTGGTCACATAATAGTGAATACAGTAGATAAAGAAGTAGACAGCTGTGAAGCCACTGGTCAAAAAGGATCGCCACCACCAGTGGTAGTCCTGAAGGAGAAAAAAAAAAAAAAAAAGTTAAGATTAATGTTATGAATATCTGAGCCAATGTATTTTTGTCCCCTCCCCATACTAAGAATTATCAGTGATCTCTGTACGTTTGTTAATCAGTTGACATAGAAATTTAAGCTTGAATCCAGTTATAAAAGGAAAAAAAAAAAAAAAAAAGCTGAAATTCTAAATATGATAAAAAGTAATGGCCAATGCATTAAAACTCAATAACCATCAAGTAAATTTAGTGTTAAGTATTTGTTAATTGTCCATGAAGAATAAGTAGATAAGTTTTTGAGAAATTAAATCTAATTTAGGCCCATATTTAAAACTTAATGACAGACTGAAATGTACAACAAATTGTAAACTTTTTTTGAAGTTGTCTTACCTCAGCACAAAGATGAAAGTAGCACAACAAGATGGTGGCTTCTGAACAAGTGATGATAAGAATGACAAACACCAAAAACAAGAAACCAAACATGTAGTAGGTTTGGTGAGACCTAAAAATACAAAAACATATTTCCCTACAATATTATTTTAATATTTAGTTTTAAATACAAGGCAGCTTTGCCTAAAATGATAGATTTTCAATCTTATAATTCTGCTTATCCCTCTTATACTCTGCCAATATGTCATAATGGACTATTCCACTTTGATCATGTGGGAAGATGGCGGGGGAGGGGATCAGACATGCTACTTAATTTCAGTGAGAAATTGTAGGGAAGATAGTGTTTAATGTCTGTTTCAGTGAAATCAAAAAGTAGTCAATTTCAAATCTTTTCATTTGTGCCTTTACATTTTAAAATAAGAACCAGCATTCATATTTATGATTGTTATTGCAATAATTTGCTAAAGTTGTTAAGCTTAAATAGGGGAATTTTTATGGATATTTCATTGTTGTAGAACTTGCCATAAGCTTAATCATTAACTTAAGAATTCATCAGAAAATTAATATAGGAAAACCATGAAATTTTCTAGTAGAAAGAGAATTGATAAATGGTAAGTCAATTAATTTGTAACCAGTTTATTCAAAAACTTTCAATATGAAGACAAAAGTCACCATTGATGGCATTTGAGAACAAGCCATTAACATTTCCATTTGAAAGAACATGATAAATTAAAAATATAAAAAAGACATTCAAATTGTACAATATCAGTTTATAATTTTTGACTAGTAATTTTTCAGCTAATTTTTGCTGCCTTAAAATTTTTTGTCTTTTTACATTTAATGTATAAATTAAAATATGTGGAATTTATATTTAAAATCCAAGTTATTTTAATATTAGGAAAATCTTGAAAAATAAAGATAACAATAAAACTACATGAGAGCAGATTTGATCATATTGCGAAATATACATTAAAAGACGGACAGTTTCAAAGTCTATCCATTTTTTTTATCTTAAGAGAATTACTATTAAACATTTGATTAGTTAATAGTCAAAAGCTTATTTAAAACAGTCAAGTGGTAATATTTTTTAAATTCTTTTTCACATGAAAATTCTCATTGATATAAACTATAATTTAGATATCTATTAATGGGCAATTGTCCCATAAGTATGAAGAAAAGAAAGATAAAAGAAGTGCTCATCAAATGGTGGTAAAATCAAGAGATTATACAAAAATATGGAAGGACCAGAAATATTAAAGTCTGAAGTAAGATCAGCACTAGACAAGATGAACAGGAACAAAGAAGCAGGACCAGATGGGGCCCATAATAGAAATGCTCTCAACCTTAGATAATTTTGGCATTGACACAATCATAGAAATAACAGAATCATACAAAAGTGGTGACATACTGAAAGTAGATCCATCATCATAGGATTGCCTAAAAAACCAGGTGCCAATAAATGCAAGTTCAATCAAAGTTGAATGAGCCACATAAGCTAATAATCTGAATTCAGATAAAAGCAGAATTAGACTGGAAATAGGACAAGAATAGTGTGGTTTTGTCGAGGACACTGCAACAAGGATACATTTATGCTCAAAATATCAGCAAGAGCAATAAAAATGCAGAAGGATATACACTTATATTTTATATATTATGCAAAAGCATTGGATAAGGTGTGGCACAAAGACTTGAACTGTTCAGATAACTATTTGGGAAGGATATTAGAATAATTCAGAACTTGTAATGGGAGGAAACCGACTGCATATGGATAAAAAAATGAATTGAGTAGGTCCACAAAAATTGAAAGGGGGCACGAGACAGATTTATTCAACTTCTACAGCAAAGCTATCCTAAGGGAGCTGGAGAACCTATCATGATTGGGAGGGGGGGCATAATATTAACAATATAAGATACAGAGATGACACGGTGTTAATGGCAGACACAGAAAGAAAACTAAAGGACTTCCAAGATAAGGTAACTAAAGAAAGTAAGACAGAACGTATGGTTGTCAGCAAGAGAAAAAGCCTCGGATGTGAAGTACAAATCAAACAAGTACAAAAGATATCTGGGAAGTGTTTTAACAAATGAAAAATGCAACACAAACTGAAATGTATATTGAAATGCATCTTTTGCTAAGCCAAGTACCAAAAAATAAGAATTTCATTAGAAACAAAGAAAAGGGAGCCAAACTACTATGTAACATCAATCCGCTTGTATAACAGGACAATCTCATCAAAAATGAGAAAACTGGAGGCAACAGAAATGTGGTTCTACAGAAGGATGCCAAGAATGCTATGGAGGGAGTGCATAAGTAATAAAGAAGCTTTATGGAAATAAAAAGGACACTTAGTATCAGAGAGAGAGAGATGAAATTTATTGAACTTGGAGAATTTGACACCCACAAAACAAGGGAAGGCAGCAGACCACCTACACAAACTGTTTGTGTGAATGGATGGTGGAATGAGAAGTGAGAAGCTTGACCGAGAGACAAATGTTGCTATGGTCTACAAAGGATAGGAAACATGGCACATATAATATTTTGTTTTAAAACTAATTTCTTAATTAAATTGCACACACACACACACACAAAATTAAATAAATAAAACAAAAGAAATTAACTGAAAAGAAAATTTTATAACTTAGTTTTTCTGAAGTATTTTACTAAGATTTAAAAGATAAGAAAAAAATTCTTCCCACTCAAAGCAAATTGGATTAAAGATATCCTGACAAATATATTAAGCAAAAAAGAAATCCAGGGCACTATGACAAGGATTATGGTCTTCTAAAATTTCCCAAATGATTTTTGTTGTTTTATTTGAAATATTATACCTCATAAATGTTCATATTGTTACCAAAATTGAGCCCAGGGGTTTGGCCCAACCACATTCCAAAGACCATTATCTGTTATTAGATAGATAAGTTATGAATATTTTATTGAAAATCATGCAATAAACCAATGCCAGAAGTGTACTTATTTCCTTATATAAACTGGTCAGAATGAAATGACAGCCTAGACAAGGTCCATTATAAACCACTTCTTTTCTTGCTGCTTCTACCTCCAATGAATCAACAAACATGAGCATAAATACAGTGCCAAAACAGCAGTCTCTCAAATTATGAATTACTGCTAGAATAATTATTTCCTGTTTCAAATCATCATTAGGCATTCTCATGCAATTGTAAACTGTTTGGTAACAATAACACCAGTATCTTCTCTCTTGTGAGAATTGATGCAGGGAATCTATTTTAAATCTGCAACTTACAAATTCCAACACGCAATCTGCCAATTATTGAAGAAAAAAATACTCACCAAATACTGTTTAAGATGAAGAAAAGCTGGATGAATATACAACCGAATGGTAGCACACCTCCCATGACAATTCCAGGGAGAGGTTTGGTATAAAATGATTGATCAGGGATCTGTCGGGGAATCTGATTAGTTCGTACTGGGTGTTCAATAGGCTAGGGAGAGGAGGAAAACAAAAAAATATTAAAGCATAAACCATGTTCTAAAATACGGTTTATTATGATAAAAGTTAAAATGTAAAATGCTTGTATTTTGAATTTTTGTATAAACCACATTAAGAAAATCAGGACCAATAAGTTCTAGACAAGTGTAATAAGAGAAGAGTGATCAATTGAGATTTTCATAATTTCAACTAAACCAAAAATCAAATTTTGATTTTAATTTTTTAAACATTGAAAAAAAAAAAAAAAAAAAAAAAAAAAAAAAAAATTGAGCTATAAATAATTGTACAGCTATGCACACATAGCTCTTCAAATAGACTTAAATTATTCAAGTTATTGAACAAAATTTTACATTTATATAAACATCTTACAAGTCAGTTGCAGAAAATATCTTACCCTTTTTTTGAAACCAAAGTAAGCACCAATGAATGTAAGTGGAACAGAAATGCCAAACCAAAGAGCAAGTAGTGCCAATAGAGTTGTAAAAGGAATAGCTGCACTGCTTCCATTGGCCCAAAGAATTAAGTTCAGCAAGAAAAACATACAAAAAACCACACTGAAAAAGAAAAGAAAATCCAGTCCAGGTTGCATTTTCTTGACAATGATAGTTTCTAGTAATTAAGTTTTAAATATATTAAGATATTAATATTTTTTTGAATAAAATTGGCATTATTCTAAGAATAGATCAGGTGAAACAAGTTCAAATGTCCAAACCAAGAATATATAAAAGAGACATTTTACTTTGCCTCAGTTGATGCATTCTTCACTATAAAAACAAACTCCAAAATGCAGAGCCTGGCACCTGCCATCACTACGCTTTTGCACATTTACATAAAAGAATTGAAGAATGTAAACAGTACAGGTAGATTGAGCTTGTTAGTTCTGGTCATCATTCAACTCAGGAAAAGGAAATCATCACAAACAAAGGAAAACAAGACTCTTCAAGCCTTGGATGGCACCCTGCCATTGACATTAACGAGCCTCCACCAGACACACACACACACAAAAAGAAAAAAAAAAAAAAACCGGACATCCCGATACAGCAGTAGGGAGGAAGTCTATTGACAGGTAGCAGTTGCAAGAGTTTTGAAAGACTGGTGCTTTGAAGGACTGTCATCGGCCTCAAGAACTGCCATCAAAACACATAGTTAGGGAGAAACTGCCATCCACAGAAGTATACATCCACTGTTAGTATCAGCTGCTGAAAGGCAAAAATAGTAAAGGTATTTTGACCTAGGTTAGAGCCACTGCCACAAAACAACCTAGGTGAAAAATGCCTCCCATCAGTTTGTTAACTTGGTTATAATGGAATAATTTCACTGCTGGATCATTAGCAATATTGTGCCAATTCTAAGGAAGTCTTACATTGACTAAACTTGTAAGTAACCAGTCAACCGATTCTGAAAATTACTGCTTGCAACTGGACAAATTAAAAGCCAGCAATTCAAGAAAAATGCCCAGAATTAGCGAACAGTAAAGATGTGGTTTTCCATCAGGATAATGCCAGACCTTGCGTTCCTTTGATGACCAGACAAAAATTGTGGCAGCTTGGGTGGGATGCGTTACCCTACTGTCATATTCAGCAAACATTGCTTCTTCAGGTTTTCATTTCTTCAGGTCCTTGCAATATGATCCGAGTGGTAAAAATTCTAATTCTTTGGATGACAAAAAAAAAAAAAAAACACCTTTGCCAGGAAACCACCAAAATGGTTTGTATTTAGGTTTTTGTTTCATATTTTAATTTCCCTTAAAAATTGACATGAACTTTGAGCCAATTTAAAAAAAATTACCAAGAATGGCCTCAAACTTTTTAACTGTACAGTGTGTGTGTGTGTGTATATATATATATATATATATATATATATATATAAGCATTTCACCCCAAGCAAGGCAGGAAGCCACTAGGACGCAAGGGGTTGCAGAAGCAACTGGAGATGTCGATTGACATTACATTTGAATAGTTGGAGATTATAGCTCTCAGGGAAACTGGAATAGGGAAGGGAGTTCCACAGGTAAGACTTGTGAGATATGAAGCTATTGGAGTAGAAGAGACGGCTACATTTAGTAGTTTTGACAGTGAAAGGGTGAGAGCAGGATGCCAGCCTCGTAGGGTGTTTGAATTCATGAAGTTTGGGAACCAGCGAATGCAGCTCCTCGGAACAATTGCCATGAAAGTATTTATAAAACAGAGAGAGGCGACAGCGCGTCTGTGAGAGAGAGTGACTGTCGACGAGATGCCAGAACAGGGCCAATTATATTGGATATCGGTCTCTGGTGCTTATCAAGAACCCCAAGGCAAACAGAAGGGGCTCCACACCATATATGGCAGCAATACTCCATGCAAGGGCGAATTGTTGATTTGTAGATATGAAGGATCAATTCCAGGGGAAAAAATTTCCTGGCGTGACACAGGGAGCCAACTTTCCTTGCGGTGGACGAAGCAATTGACTCAATGTATTTGTTCCATCTTAGGTCAGCAGTCAACGTGAGACCGAGCAGCCACAAAGAGGTGCTCTCGAGAAGTTGAGCGTCAGACATTTCTAATGGAGGCCAGGGAAGGATCTCTGTGGTGATAATAGAGAGCAGTTTTATTTTTGAGGCATTAAAGTTGACCAGCCAATTCCTGCCCCAGTTCACAACCGATTGGAGGTCCTTTTCGAGATTCACGGCCAGGTTAGTTTTGTGAGCGACACTAGATTTGTTTTTGAGGCAGGAGTAAATTGTGGTGTCATCTGCGTAGATGCCAACTTGGGAATTTATGGTGTCAGGAAGGTCACTTATGTAGATTAGGAATAGAGTGGGGCCTAGGATGGAGACTTGAGGAACACCATGGGATAGGAACTGGAGGAGAATCCGTTGAGAACGACCTTCAATTCACGGTTTGACAGGAATGATTGTATTAGGTCAAACAATCGACCCATAACGCCATAACCTTGGAGCTTGCGAAGAAGGCTGACATGCCAAACCCTATCAAATGCTTTGGAGATGTCTAGGGCTACGGCACTAGCTTCCCCATTATTTTGAAGAGCTTGGTAGACAATTTCAGTGATGGCCATAAGCACATCAGCTGTAGATTGGGCAAAGCGGAAGCCATATTGCTTGTCTGAGAGCAGATCATGGGATGTAAGGTGGTTAACCACTTGGTATTGATTAGGGCTTCAAGACTTTGCGAAGAGGGGTAGGAGACTGATGGGGACGGTAATTAGAAGGGTCACAGGGGTCACCAGAGTTCTTGAAGACAGGAACAATCGAAAAGGACTTCCAGCAGTCAGGAAAACAAGATTCCTTGAGGCAGTAGATACATAATTTAGAGAGGGGGGGGCGGTTCAGGCGCACATTTCTTCAAGACAGTGGCTGCTATCCCATCCCCACCACTAGCCTTGTTGGGGTCTAAATTGGAGATAATGCCAAATACCAAAAGACGAGGTTATGTGTAACCCACTCAATAGGGCCTCAGTTCTAAGAGGGAAGTCGAGTATGGGTACACCGGAAGAGTCGAACGTTGAGTTGAATGAAAATTTCCGAGCAAAGCATTCAGCCTTGTCGGTAGAGGAGGCCAGGACTTCGAACTGGTTGAACAAAGGAGGTATAGAGGGTTTGCAATTGTTCAATATGCTCTTGCAGAGACGCCAATAACCTTTGAAGCCAAATTTGCGAAATGCAATACGCTCCTTCATCCGAGCAGCAAATAGTGACTTAGCATCGTTGAGGACACGCTTACACTAGTTACAGGCGGAGACAAAGAGACGTCTATTGCAGTTCGACATGTCACTATGAAATAGGTGAAAGTGGTTCCTATGGGCAATGGCAGCTGAGCAAGCAGCAGAGAACCAAGGGAAGGAGCGCGACTTAACCCTATATTTCCTTGAGGGGGATAAAAGCGTTGATTCCAGTTTTAACCCAGAATGAGACCTCAAAAGCACATTCTTGGACAGGGAGCGTAAAGACAACATCACAGGGGACATCACGGAGGAAATCACAGAACAAGTCCCAGTCAGCTTGTTGATAGTAGAACGAAGTTCTAGTGGTAGGAGGTTCTTTGCAGGGTGTGGAGTTGAAGATGTTAACAGATACTACAGCATGATCAGAGTTACCAAGTGGGCAGAGTTGCGTGGCGCTACAAGACTCAGGGATTGAGGTAAAACACAGATCAAGAAGAGAGGCCTTACCTTCCCGGTTGAAGGCAAAACGAGTGGGGAAGTTAACTATCTGCTTGAGGGATTGAGAAACTGAAAAATTAAGTGTTTGAATGCCTGCGTGGTCAGTAGTAGCATCCTTAAGCCACTTGGTATGATGGGTGTTAAAGTTGCCAAACACAAATATGTGAACAAACGGGTGGAGGAAGAGAGCCTTGTCTATGCTGTCAGAAATGCTATCAAATATCCCAGTCTTGAGAGGATGGAGAGCAGTAAAGGAAGAAGAGATAGCTTACCGCATTGAGAAGAGATAGTCAGAGACACATGTACGACTGGTCTGGTAATTTGAGAGACAACTCTCTGGCCAGAGGGAGATGGTCCTTGACATAGACACCAAGGCCGTGCATGTGGGTTAGAAGGTCTTTTCTGAGGAGAGGAAGGTAGCCTGTGATCGAGAGATCAGAGGAGGGGATAAATGAGACAAGGTTAGTCTCACAGAGAGCCAGTTTGCAGTGAGGAAAGATTCCATACTGCAGAAGTTTGTTCTAATGCCACGGATGTTGGAGAACTAAATGATTTTTGAGGAGCTGGTTTGGGATTACTTTTTCGGTCTTTGTAAGTCATCATGTGGAATTATGGTTGGAAGATGAGAAGGCCCGAAGTAAAAGAAGCAGACAGTTATCGACCGTGATGTGGGCAGAGAGAAGTTGGCACAGCCTGCATCATAATGTGGCCTTAGGGATATATATATATATATATATATATATATATATATATATAAAAATGGACTCTCTCGTCAGTTTCGACGTATGAGGATCTGAGAGCTTAGTTGATTCAGTTATGAAATTTTGTGCGATAATCTTAAGTGGCATTTAAGACCTGCTAGTGATTTACACAGGAGGCCACATATGGAGCAAGAGTGGGGATTGTGAGACGAGATCACTGTTAGATTGGCTGACCTTTTAGTTCTTGCTCTCGTTTCTTGAAGATGATTCAGACAAGCAGATTGAAAATTGCAGAGTTCACTAAAACACGTTGATCTCCATTCTACCTGCTCTAAGGCTAAGTGCTCAAGAGCGTTATGTGGTATATTGACAGCTGACAAGTTGCTTTTCAGCTTGTCTTTGTATCTTAGCCATGGGCATCATATATATATATATATATATATATATATATATATGTGTGTGTGTACACACACACGGTCAAGTGCTATGTTTGGGGAGGAGGACAGTTCAGAGAATGATGATTATAAACAGACATTAATTCTGGAAAATTTAATAACGAATTGCCACTGTAAAAACAAATCCTAGTAAAACTTTAGTTCATGTAATTTACATAAAGTAGAGTAAGGTTTGTCACGTTTTTAACGTCAACCTTCTGTCCTTAGGGACAAATTTCACTGTACACCGTTTTTGTTTGT